GCCAAGAAAAGCGGCCGTATGTCCATGGAGGGAGCAGCGGGGCTTTAAGGAGATGCTGCTGCACACTCTCCTACCTGGTTGGAGAGCGAATGTGGCAGCTCAGGCGGCGCATAGTCACTTAAACGCTGCTCCCTGAGTGGCCCGTGGGCTGCTGGAGCGGGGCCTGGTGGTGTGGTGGGAGCAGGTGGATGTGAGTTAATGAGTCCCCTAACGAGTCCTGGTCTGAGCCCAGAATCCCAGACCCACTGAGGGGAGGCAGCACGCCTAATCTCCCTGCCCGCCATCCCCCATCTGTACAAACACCGCTTCTGCTGTCTCCTGGTGATGCCAGGATTGAGTTATGTTTGTAAAGCCCTTTGAAGAAGTCTGTTTCTAACTATCATTATGTTTGTTAAAATACAGCTCTCCCTGCAGGACAGCGGACTAGAAACAAAGCTGATGAAATGCAAGTTTTTTATAGCCGGCACAGTGCTCTGAGATGAAGCCCCGCAGCGGAGCTGGGCTGAGCAGCCTGTGGTGAGGCCAGCCCTCTCTCGCAGCATGCTGGTGCATGGGACTGGCCTGCTAGCAGGGACTCCTGAATTGGCCTCTGCTGAAATCTGCTCTGCGATGGAGCTTCAAAACAAAGCAGAACATTGCTGAGAATGAAAAGCAAAATGTTTTGCTTTTTCACTGCATGATAAAACTCCTCCGCGTTATGTAAGTGTTACCTTTTGCACATCTGTGTTACGGCTTGTTGATATTTCCTCTTTATTAGCCTTAGGTGTCCGTGTGGGTTGCTGTAGTGAATGCTGAGCAATTGCTGTTTGACGGTGGAAAAATCACAGCAGGTGCTTGTCCAGCAAAGGGGACACTCTGGACCTGCAAAGTACCCACCCCACATCTTCCTGCAGCCTCAGCTGTGGCACTGGTTGTGGCTGTGGCAGCAGCTCCTTGGATGAAAACCACTGATTCCGTCTGGTTCGCAAGGCAGGTGGGAGTTTTCAGGCTTGATTTGACTGAGGATAGCTTGGCTTGCTGCTGTGTTAGCTATCAGTGCGTTGGCATGGTCATAAGCAACACTGAATTATTATTATTGATAGAATTTCCCATTGCATTATTAATACTCAGGCTTTATCTGTCCCCTTAGTGTCCAGTGACACTCCAGTGTGCATGCATTCTCATAAGGACAAGAGGACTCTTGTTTTGTTTTGGTTTTTACATGAATAGTTTATCCCCTGCAAATACAGTTTCAAGCCACCAATATGCTTTCAAAGTTTGGTCTGACTTTTTACAAAGTCCTGAAAATATTTTGCAACCAAGTTTAGCACAATTGAGTTTAGAAAAAAAAAACAAACAATAAAATACCCCTACTCTTTGAAGTGAAATGGAAAAAAATTGTCTTTGGAAAGAGGTAAATTAACTTTATGGCTAGAACCCCAAACTTCTTTTTAACTCAGAGCATCTTTCTGTCTTGTTCTGTATTTCCACCGCTGACCGAAGCAGCCCAGCAGCCAGTGCCACGCTCTTCAGCCTCCAGGTCTGGATACTGAGGACAGTCGCAGCTCGGTGTGACACCGGGAGAAGCGGTGATGTCCTGCCCTGGATTGACCAGAGGAGTTGTTCGCACCGGACCCGAATGCTGCGTTGGTCTGCGTCCCCCCAGCCCTCCCACCCGCCTGCTGGGGGCCCCAGAGGCGGTGGGGACAGGAGGGGTGGCTGCTGCAGTTGCCCCAGCCAGTTTGGGTCTCTCTGCCGCCATCGCTGGCACCCAAAAAAGCTTCGTATTTGGCAAAAACATTCTTTCAACAGGAAACATTTATAACTGTGTTCTGGGTGAACAGTTGATCGCTTTGGGTCTTTCTACTGCTTGAATCTTCCTGCTGTTAAGAATGAATTGTTGTCTCAGAGGGCCAGCTCCAGGCCTGCCAGGAACAGCTTCATTTCCACGGGCTTCCTGACACTTGCTCCATCTTGCTCAACACCTGGGTATCACCCAAAGTACCATGGCCATGAGGAGTCTGCAAATAAGCTGTGAAAAGAGCAATAAAAGGAAAGAGGGAAAGACAAATGAAGTGGAAATAGAGGCATTTCATTAGCAGAATGTGCGGTGTTAGGATTTCCCAGGCAATCACTAGTTAGTGGTGGAGTGGCCTTTTTTGTTTATTTTGGTGTCTGACCATCGTCAGTGATTTCTCTCGTGGGAGTGGGGAGCCAGCTTGCGAGCTCGGGGTTCCCAGCCTGACTTCAGTTTGCAGCAATGACAAGTTCTGTTTTGCCTGCTGATGTCGTAAGTACAGAACTGAAGGGGATTTTTGGAGATAGATGTGAGTTGTAGACCTATAGGAGCACGAAGAAGAAAAACAGACATGAAAGAAAACACAAGTATGGCAAGAAACAGGAATGAAAATACAGTTGCATAATCTGGGTATGCTGTTACCATGACTTTTGGACAGTGGCTGCTCTGTGCTGGCGGTCACTGTGTGTATATGTAAAAACTGTGCATACAAGCTATATGGTGTAGTTTTTTTAAGGGAACTTTTTTTAGTCTAGGCCTTGATGTCTGCAGGAAATTGATATTTTCCAGTTTTGCAAGATGCAAAACACTGATAACCTTTTGCAACCCTCCTCTCCCATCAGTGCTGATAGGAAACCAAGTCAGTGCAATAAAAGCATAAAAGCTCATTTGTAACCCAGAGTTCACTTTGTGATGGTCACTGCAGATAAATAAATCCTCTCCCTGGCCCAAGCACAAGCTGGGTCCTGCAGCAGTCCTTTTGGGCACTACACAGCACCGCTTTCTTTTGCAAAAAACTAAACTGACTCGGTAAGTAATGGAGAGTAATGGCCCAGGAGTGGAGCGAGGTCTGAGCCCAGAGATGGCCGTGGAGCACAGGGAGGGCACAGTGAGGGCAGCTGCGGCTGCTGCTGGCACGAGAAACGGGCAGTAGAGACAGAGTTTACAAGGAAACAAATTAATTAGATGTTAATTCCCAGCTGAAGTCCTGGAAGGCCGAGTGAACCAGTGTGTAGCCCCCACACGATGTGCTCGGCTGGGAAGCGCTGGAGGCTGAGCCCAGCATCCGCCCTGCCGAGCTGAGAGGGGCCGGGTGGGATCGGAGAAGGGGCTGTCCAGGCAGGGACGTGACTCGTGTCTTGGAGGGGGAGTCTCCCCTCGCCCTCTGCACTGGCAGTAGTCTGTATCTTCAGAAGAGAAAGAACAGACTGTGGCATTGACAGCTTATTATTCTTTTGAAGCTTTTTTTAACTTGCAAGGCTGATTTTGAGAGAAAAAGCTTAGTAGAGCTCCTTTGGTCCAGCACGTGGCACACACTCATACATGTGCACCCAGTCTCTGGCTGATGGGTATGCTGGGTAAGCTGAACCTGTTCTAAGCAGTTGCGTTGTTTTGATGGCCTGAATTTTGCTTTCAGGTCTTCAGCTATCCGT